CGTGCTGGGTCTATACTTTTACATGTTAACTCCGTTACAGTTGGTTCATTAGTTATTCTGGTATAGTTAGGAATAAGAGTGGTTACCAGGCTGGTCTGGGGATGCAGCTCAGTGGTAGAGTGCTAGCGTAGCATGTACTAGGCCCTGAGTTCAATCCCCAGTACCACCAAAAAAAAAAAAAAAAAAAAAAAAGTTACCTACATTTGGGACTTAAAAGTTTTCAGCTTTGAGGTAAATTCAGGTGTCACTTGCAAGTAGGTCTTACGAAGACAGACCACCCTGATTCTTTTCACAGTAATATGTTATAATTGGTAATTTATTTTGACTGAAATGAGGTCGGTATTCAGATTTTATGACATTAGCAGTGCTGTGTCCAGTCCCCCAGTTATTCATACAAGTTACGATGGTAGAATTTTTGTTTTGTTTCGTAGTCTTTGTCAGGGTTTCACTCTGCAGTTCAGGCTGGCCTGAACTCACTTTGTAGCCTCAGCTGACCTTGAACTCCCAATGATCCTCCTGCCTCAGCCTCCCCAGTGCTAGAATTACAGGTGTGCACTACCACTCCTGGCCTAATGATAATATTTTTATAATATTCATTTTCTACATAGAACAAAAAAGAGCAGTTGTGCTAGCACAAGGCAAGGGCATTACCAGCCCAGTGTGGAAAGTATTTTCCTAATTAAAACAAATGCAGTTATAAAACTGTGTAGAGATAATAGCTGACTTTAGTACATAGAAACATAAAGACCATATGCATTAAATGAGAAGGTATATTTGGCATGAACATTATGTAAATTTAAATTGAAGACACCCTCTGAAATACAGTATATGGGTCTGGCCAGAGAGCTCAGGGGATTAAGGTGCCTGCTTAGGCAGGCAGGGGCCCTGCCCCTGGGGCACCTAGATAGCGACTAAGACTGGGTGTGGTGGCGTGGGCCTATAATCCCAGCATTTGGGAGGCTGAAAACAGGAGGATCACTATCAGTCCAAACTGTGTAGTGAGACTCTGTACTAAATATATTAAAAAAATGAAATATAGTATAAAAAATAAACATTGGAGACAGCATGGTGGCACATGCCTACAATCCCAGTGCTTGGGAGGCTGGAAACAGGAGGATCACTACAAGTCTGATCTGTGTACTGAGACTCTGTAGAACCTGCACTAAATACATCAAAGAATAAAAAGAAAAACAACACCAAAAATTGCATAAGAGTTGCAAAAAAAAAAAAAAAAAAAAAAAAAGAATTCAACTTGTATTTCCTATTCAAGCTGGAACACAGGAAAACCTGCTTTCAATTCATGTCAGGTAGTTCAAATGGAAAGAAAAGAGAAGTCTGGTAGAGACAACGTGGACTAGCCTTTGCACATTCAGCAAGCCAGGTTGAATCCTTTTTTTTTTTTTTTTTTGTTCTTTCAGACGGTCTCATTATGTAGTTTAGGCTAGCCTGAACTCTCAGCAATCCTCCCAGGGGCTAGGATTATAGGTGTTGCCACAACACCTGCTAGATTGGATCTTTATTTCCTGCTTAGAATTTTCCACATTCTAACTTTTTTTTTTTTTTTTAAAGATAGGATCTCTATTCACCTTTGAAAAATTTGAGGTAAAAAAATATGTTGAGTTGGGAAATTTCTGTGGGGCTATGTAGGTTCTGGGGAGGACTTAATGTTATCATCATTTGAGTTTTTTCTTTTGGTACTAGGAATCAAACTCATGACCTCCCACTTGCCAGGCAGGCACTTGTGCTACTGAGCTACATCTTCAGTCCCATCATTTGATTATTTCTGGGATTTGATGTCAGATTTGAGTCGTCTGCATTAGCCCCTTGACAACCTATTTCTCTGTAGTGGTCAACAGATATAAAAATACAACCAATGCTCAATGTTTATTTGCATTAGTGCACTAAGTGCTTTCCTCTTCACATTCGACAGTACTAGATTTTGTTTTTGTTTTTGTTTTTTACTGAGAAAAAAGTATATATTTAGAATTAGCCAGCTGGGTTCAGTTTAGATGATCCCAATTTTGTTGGCAACATCCAATGCATCATAATCAGGAGCCAGTCGAACATATGCCTTCTTCTCTCCATCAGGCCTGATTAGGGTATTGACCTTGGCAACATCGATGTCATAAAGCTTCTTTACAGCCTGTTTGATTTGGTGCTTATTGGCTTTGACATCCACAATGTACACGAGTGTGTTGTTGTCCTCAATCTTCTTCATGGCGGACTCTGTGGTCAGGGGGAACTTGATGATGGCATAGTGGTCAGGCTTGTTTCTCCTGGGGGCGCTCTTCTGAGGGTATTTGGGCTGCCTCCGGAGCCGGAGCGTCTTGGGACGGCGGAAGGTGGGTGACGTTCGTTCGTATCTTCTTCTTTTTGTGGCTGTGGATGCCTTTCAGCACGGCCTTTTTGGCCTTCAAAGCTTTTGCTTTGGCTTCAGCTTTGGAAGGGGCAGGGGCTTCCTTCTTTGCTTTCGGCGCCATCTTGGTAAAAAGGCCACGACAGTACTAGATTTTGTATCACTATGGTTTTGAAAACCAATTTGCTATTCTAGGTTATTATCATTATTATTATTATTATTATTATTATTATTATTATTATTACTTTTTGTGCAGGGTCTCACTGCTCAGCGAGAACTCATGGTGAGCCTCCTGTTTTCAGCCTCCCCAGTGCTAGGATTATAGAAGTGCACCACCACACCCAGACTTGGTAGCTGGCTCAGCAGGCCCGGGAGCAGGGCCAGCAAGGCATGTGGGGCCAAGGATCAAATCCCGGCCCCCATTGCTTGCCTAAGCAGGCAATTTGCTATTCTAGAAAGAACTTTTTCTGCCGGGTATGGTGGCACATGACTGTAATTCCAGCCCAGGCAGGATCACCATGAGTTTCAAGCCAGCCTGGACTACATAGTGAGACCCTGTCTCAGAAAAGAAAAAAAATATTGTTTTTCTAATAAAGCCTCAAGCCTGGTGTCAGGGTACATGCCTGTAATCCCGGCACTTAAGAGCCTGAGGCAGGAGAGTTGTTATGAGTTTGAGACCAGCCTGGGCTAAAAAGGAGCTCAAGGCCCTCCTGAGCTGCATAGCAACACACACACACACACACACACACACACACACACACACGCGCGTGCGCGGCTCTGTTTATTTTTTTTGTGTGTGTGGTATGTGGAATAAAGATTTTTTTTTTTTTTTTGCTCCGAATGCCTTCAGGGCAGGTTTGGCTGGCTGGAGTGTTGTGGGGATCGAACTACAGCATTCTGAGGCTGACAGCTTTGTGGAAGCAGCCACTTAAGGAACTGAGCTAGGGCCAGGCCCCCATATGTGGAATCAAACTCAGGACCTTGCATTTGTCAAGCAGGTGCTTAAGCTGCTGAGCTACCTCCCCGACCTATTTACCATCAATATTGAAGTAAGAAACATTTTAGAGATTTAGTAGGAAGGATGATTATGTTGAAATAAGACATAATTAGGAGGCTATCTGCATTTTTTTTTTTTTTTTTTTGGCTGAACCGGGGATTGAACTAAGACCCTTGAGCTTGCCAGGGAAGCGCTTATTCCACTGAGCCATCTCCCCGGCCCCAATTTTTATTTATTTATTTTTTTTTTGGTGGAACAGGGGATTGAACTCAGGCCCTTGCGCTTGCTAGGCAAGCGCTTATTCTACTGAGCCATCTCCCTGGCCGTGCATGTTAAATATAGACAAAATGACCACCATAATCCTTAAATATAGGTATAATTTAAATATATTTAGAATATAGGTAGAATTTATTAGTTTATGTAGAAAGCCAAAAATAGGGAAGATAGAGGATATGGATATATTGTCTGGACTCAGGGTGCTGCTGTTCAGCAGGTAAAATTTAGTTTCTTCAATTCAATCACAGCAGATATATTCCTATCATAAAATTTAGCACATTCCATTAATTAAAAAAAGTCAGATAAGAAAATCACTAATAGGATTTACTTTTCTAGAGATTGATTTAAAAATTTGTTTAAAAAAATTAGTTTCACTTTCATTGCTTCTTTTATTTTTTTCATTGCTTCTTTTTGAAGGTTTTTTTTTTTTTTTCCTCTGAATGCCTTCAGGGCAGGTTTGGCTGGCTTGAGTTGTGGGGATCAAACCACAGCAACCTGAGCCTGACTGCTTTGTTGAAGCAACCACTTAAAGAACTGAGCTAAGGGGCAGGTCCCCCAAAGAACTCCCACTCTCCTTGCTCAGTCCACTTTTTTTTTTTTGTGTGTGGAACTGGGGATTGAACTCAGGCTCTTGTGCTTGCCAGGCAAGTGCTTATTCCACTGAGCCATCTCCCTGGTCCCATTGCTTTTTTTTTTTTTTAAATTATTTTATTTGTGTGTGTGTGTGTGTGTGTCCAGCTCAGCCCACCAGGGGGCGGGGCTGGCTGGCATGTGGTGCTGGGGGATTGAACCACGGTCCTTGTGCTTTGCTAAACTTGTTCTAAGTAGGTGCTTTAGACCACTGAGCCATCTCACCAGCCCCCCATTGCTTCTTTTTTATTACTTTTATTTTTTATCTTTTTGTGACAAGGTTTCACTATGTAATTCTGGCTGGCCTTGAACTCACTTTGTAGGCCAGGTTGGTCTTGAACTTGAAGCGATCTTCCTGCCTCAGCCTCCCAAGTACTCAGATTATAGGGGTGCACCAACATACCTGGCACACTGCTCCTCTTTTATTTATTTATTATTTATTTATTTATTTATTTATTTAATTTGGCGGAACCGGGGATTGAACTCAGGCCCTTGTGCTTGCCAGGAAAGCGCTTATTCTACTGTGTCATCTCCCTGGTCCCTCTTGCTCCTCTTTTAAAAAGACAGTTTTTTCAATAAGTTACATTTTTTAAAAAGCAGAATCTGAGAGATAAAGGCTTTGAAACATGCATTTTAGAAAACAAGCTTTGAAAAATAAATGGCTTGCTTTTTATCTTATTTACATTGTACTGCTTGTGAATTCCAAACCCCAAGCACACTGGAAGAAACTATAACAAAAAGTGGAAGAAAATGTTTATTGGGTGTGTATGGGTATGGAGTGGAAGCACAGGGAGAAAGTCTGCTTTTAGCGGTTTCAAGGTCTCTGGAGAAACCCTAAAGTTGCTGTCCCCAAATGAGTTTGATTAAAGAGGTTAACAAACAAACAAACAAACAAACAAGGAAACAAACAAGAGCAAAAACATAAAGATGAATCTCATCACAAAAACCCTGTGATAGGGTCTCTAACAGTCATCAGCCAGCAGGAGAAAAAGAGAAAGCTAATGTGCTGGCTCTAGGATTTATTAAAGGCTGCCAGTACAGCCCAGATCATCTCTGTGGCACTGTGCTTTGTCCCTTCCACTTCCGGGTCCAGTTCTACTAGGTCCTTGGCTCGATTCATTGCCACATCGTACTTGTCATCTGTCAGTGAGGAGAAGACATTCTCTAGCACGTCAGAAGAGTGAGCTAGCACCAGGAGTGCCAGCGTTCGCCTGTCCATGCGCTGAGGGTCATTGACCCACCGCTCTAGAACACTGTCTTGAAGTTTTTTCACTAGTCGCTGTTTCTCGGTTATATTGGTCACTGGATGAGTAGTCATGTCAAACAGCAGGAAGTTCTGCTTCTCAGTAGTTAGAATGCCCTTCTCTACTAGGTTCTTTGCAATTCGCTCTCGTACATTTCTCAGCTGGTACTGTAATTTGAAAGGGTTCCAGGTCTCACCTATGGGGAAAAGAAATACGACATAAATGAACTGAAAGAACAAAAGACTAAGTGAGTTATTTGGAAACTTGAGTGGTTAAAATTTGAAAAGCATAATTTCCATTCGTGAAGGAATGATCTCTATTCATTTTTCAATGCATTTTATCCTTTTTTTTGAGATAGACTTTCATGGTGTATTTCATGCCACTGTGATCCTTATGCCTCAGCCTCCCAAGTACTAGGATAAAAGGTGTGCACTACCATGCATGACTTCTGTTCTTTTTTTAAAACTTATGTTATTAGTACGTTAGATATACATGATAACATTCATCATAGGGAGTCTGTACCTATACATGATACATCTTGCTTTTTTCTCTATTCTCTCTCCTTCCTTTCAATCTCTCTTCTCTATTATTATTATTTTTGTTTTTTGAGGCACTGCCTCACTGTAATTTAGACTGGCCTTGAACTCACTATGAGCCCAGCCTGGCCTTGAACTCAAAGCAATCCTCCTCCTTCAGCCTCCTGAATGCTGGGATTACAGGGGTGCGCCATCATGTCCAGCTATTTATTATTTTTTGTGGATGCCACTGGTGGAATCAGAGATAAGAATGCAAAACTATAATGAAACCAGAATGAAATAAGTTTTCCTTCTGGGAGAGCAAATCTGTAAAGAATTTTTTTTGGGGATGAGCAGGCAGGGCCCAGGAGGGGAACTGGGATGACTGCCCCAGCAGGCTCTCTCCCTCCCTCACCCCACTTGCAGAGAGATTGATCAATAATTAAGATACATTAATAAATAAAACAGAAAGTGTTTCCCATGCTGTCCCCACTGTAAACTCCCCTCATTGGATGCAGTCCCCAGAGCCCCATTCCTTCAGGGCAAGGTCATTTCTGTCTCCTCCCTCCAGAGAGACACACTCCTTGGCCCTCATAATACTTATAGTTGAGGAGAGTAAAGGAAAGAAGCGGGTAAGAGCGAAGGGTGTTACTGGTGACCAGAAGCTCTTTGTCTCTGGGGTCTGGGCAACTGAATGTGGGGTGCAGTTTTCAGGGGAGGGGACCAGCAAGCCAGGCCGGGACCACTTTGGTCATCTGCCAGGGCCTGCATGGAGGGCTGGTTGTGTGCTCAACAGCTGTGTGCTTAGGTGGTCTCCGTCAGCAGCTAGGACTGGAGTGTTAGTACAGGTGATGGAATGGGTACCTCTTCTGGGGCTGCCACCTGGGGTGGTGGGGGTGGCTCTGGACCTTCAGAGATGCTGATGCGCACCTGGATGCAGACAGGCTTCTGGAGGACAAGAGTGGCCCCTGGCCTTGTATTCAACCCTGAAGCTGATCTGCGATGGCATCCTGTGTCTCAGGCAGGGGGATGATGAGAAGGCATGGGCAGTGTCTGCTTGACACTGCTGAGGAGCTTGTTCTTTAGGATGAGGAATATTTGGTCTTCTTTGTCCAAGGAGATGAAGTTCCTAAACCAGGAGCATCTCATGAGTTCCAGAGAGGAGTCTGGTAACAAACTGGACACCTCAGTAGTGGGGACCTGCACCGTGAGCTGATGGAGGTGAGGGGAGCCCTGGAAGCCGCTGTGGATGGAGCTGAGCCAACTCCTCCATGTAGCTCATTCCTTCTCCCTGTGCCACCACAGGGGATGGAGGGTGTCACTGTCCCTAGGGTCCTGGTGGGGTTTTTATGGGGCATGTGCTTGTGCGTGTGTGTGTGTGTGTGTGTGTGTGTGTGCGCGCGCGCGGTGTCCCTTTATTTTATTTTCCTTTCCTTTTTTAATGTATTAGGTACTGGGTCTCACTACACAGCTCAGACTCGTAATGATCTTCCTGTTTTCAGTCTCCCCAGCACTGGGATTACAGGCGTGTGCCACCACGCCCGGTCTTTGGCTCAGTGCACTTGGCATGGCATGTGGTGCTGGGGATTAAACCCTGGTCCCTGTGCTTGCCTAAGCAGACACTTAGTCCACTGAGCTATATCGCCAGCCCTAGGGTGTCCTTTCAGAGGAGTGTGGGAGGCTTGAGGGGAGCAGCCCGGGACTGGCACTGAGTGGTGAGGGCTATTCTTTGGTATCTAGCTCTGGGGTTGTGAGGAGGCTCATCTGCAGCTCCTGGGTCTGGTGAGAAGCTAAACTGTGACTCCAACCATATTTCCTTTTTTTTTTTGGAACTGGGGAGTGAACTCAGACCCTTGCGCTTGCCAGGGAAGCACTTATTCTACTGAGCCATCTCCCCGGCCCCGCTCCAACCATATTTCCCATCAAACTACCTTCAAAAATGTCAAGGATGCCAGGCATGGTAGTACACACCTATAATCCCAGTACTGGAGGCTGAGGCAGGAGGATCACTGAGTTTGAGTCCAGCCTGAATTAAATAGACAATTTTTTTCTGTCTCAAAAAATCAAAACCAAAAAGACTAGACTTTCATATTACTGGTATTACTAGATTTTATTTCTGTTTTTACATGCCATCTCTGTGACACTGCTTATTTATTTATTTATTTATTTATTTATTTACTTCCTTCCCACAGTACTGGGATTGAACCCAAGGCCTTTGTACTGAGCTATATCTTCAGTCCTTTTTTATTCTGAGATAATATCCTGCTAAATTGCTAAATTAAAAAAATAATAAATTACTAAATTGCCCAGGTTGAGACTGAATTTAACAAATCCTGTTTCAGATTTCCAAAATGCTGGGATTATAGGCCAGCATACATGGCCACTATTTGTCTTTCTTTTTTTTTTTTTTTTTTTCCAGACAAGGTCTTGTTATGTAGTACATGGAGGCTTTTAACTTGCTGTATAGCCCAGGCTGGCCTCAAATTCTTGGTGATTCTCTTGCCTCAGCCATCTGAGTGTTGCGATTACATGTGTAAGCCATCATGACAATTCTAATCTCTCTTTTTTTTCTTTGTTTTTAAGAGAGGGTCTCACTATATAGTGCAGACTGGCCTTGAACTCACTATGTGGCGTAGTCTGGCCTTGAGCTCCTGGCGATTCTCCTGTCTTAGTCTCTTGACTGCTAGGATTACAGGTGTGCTACCATGTCCAGTTTTTCTGGTGTTTTGAGACAGTCTTGCTGGGTAGTTCAGGCTATCCTTGAACTCATTCTGTAGCACAGTGATCAGCCTGCCTCAGCTTCCTAAGTGCTGGTTTAACAGGTGTGTACCACCATGCCCAGTACACGTATCAGTTTGAATTCTCTTCAGAACATCAGTCTCTCCCAGATGATGTCTTTTCCATACTATATATGTTCTAGGGCCAGGGAGATAGCTCAGTGACAGAAGTACCTGCCTGGCAAGCATAAAGTCCTGAATTTGATCCCTGGTACCATAAAACAAACAAACAAAAACCAAAACAAAACAGATGTTCTATTTGTATTAGTGAAACTGAGAGGACTGAGGTTCCCTTCTACAAATAGAGCAGAAGTTCTATTTCAGGTGTATTAGGCTGACAGTACTGGTGCCCTAATTGCCCCATTCCAGCCTGCTTGATGACTTCTGCACTAGAAGGGGTAAGCCAAGAAGACCGGGGGCTACTACCTCCGCTCCTACTCCTAGCACCTGCTCATGGAGCAGCGCGCTATCACCACAGAAGGGGGCCACTGTCCCCACCTCTAGTTCCAGTGCAGGGCAGAAGTTCTCAGGAGGAAGCCCAGCCTGAAGGATGAAGCCTTCTGTTCTGACTGAGAGGACTGCCTCTATTTGAAGCAGAATGTGGGTTCTATGCCGAAGGGTATCGTCAAAAACCAAGGAGAATTTAGGAGGGTGTTGGTAGCTCCATGATACTGGCAGCCAAAAGTGGATGGCAAAACTTCCTGAGGTTCAAGAAGCTCAACCAGATCACAAAGCCAGACAGACCTTGCTGGGATCATGATCAATCCTGGGGGTTGGGAACACTGCGCGTGTGTGCGCAGCAGGCTGCACCCGCTCATGAACAATCAAGGAGGATATAGGGTCTGACTTGAAAATATTCCTCACGCCACACAAAGATCCATCAACAATGTGTGAAAGCTTCACTGGCACTAGAGGATTAAGCACAACCTCTAGCTAAATACTGACTACAGTGACAAACTACTCTAGGGTGAATTTGTAGGTGCCAAGGTTAAGAAATAAAATCATAGATATCACCCTTTTTCAGAAGAAATCATAGAGGGAATTTCTAAGCTACTCATCTATTGCTGAATGTGAGGTAAAAATACAAGCTCTTTCACTGGATAGGGTGACATATACTTGTAGTTACAGCAGCTTGGGAGACTAAGGCAGGAGGATCACTTTAGACCAGGGGTTTAAGGCTAGATTGGGAAATATAGCAAGACCTCAGCTTTGAAAACAAAAAAATGAATGAAAGGGAGATAGATTTTTCTCAAACGGGAAGGGGAAACAAGATTGGAGGGAGAGAAAGAGGATGAAAGAAGTAATTAAAAGGTTTTAGAGACAGGTGTGATGGTGCATGCCTGTAATCCCAGTCTTGGGAGGCTGAGGCAGGATGATCATGGTGTGAGTTTAAGGCAAGCCTGAACTATGTAGTGAGAAGCTGTCTACAAAACAAACTAAAAGATATTATGTACATGTATCAACTCCACAAAAGAAATGTAAACATTATGTATTGGAAAGATATACTAAAAAAAAAAGAAAAATATCTGTTTGAATTTTTTTGTCTGCATTTTGATAGCACATGTCCAATAATAAAGGGGGAAAAAATCAGATTATTCAAAGGAGTTTTCTGAGAGTGATGGCACACACTTGTAATCCTAGCACTCTGGAGGCTGAGGCAGGAGGACTGCTACTTGACCCGGTCTCAAAACAAAACAAAACAAAACAAAAAACAAAGGAGTTTAAGTATAATTTTTTATTTTAAAGTTTTTGACAGGGTCTCACTATGTAATTCAGGCTGGTCTTGAACTCAATATGTAGTCTAGGCTGGGCTCAAATGCACTGTGATCCTGTCTCAGCCTCCCAAGTACTGTGATTACAGGTGTGTACCACAATACCCAGCCCATTAAACACAACTTGTACTA